TTCAAATGCTTCTAATTACCACGATTATTTTGTGTAGTTCATGATGAATACATATTTGTAGTTTTTCATTCAGAGTTTGATAGATTCTATGATCTAAGAAATGGAAATGTTTTATGCCAGTATTCCGTAGTAACTTCTATTTCATGGTGTAATTCTTAAAAGTATTTGAAACTTAAATAAGTATACTACTGACAAGTTTACAGTAGAATGATAATTCGTATTGTAGTGAATGAGAACACAAGTGGGGAAAGTCGGATGCATTTGAACACAAAGATTACAGAACGTCTGAACAGAAGCTGAGAAACATACAGTAAATACTTCATTTTCAAAATGTCAATCAACCGTCTCTGACTTCATTGTTCTTTCGATTCCACACCAATCATTCTCTGTTCTCGTCTTCTTCTCGTCGATCTTCCTAACCTTTTACTACCAGGAATTTCACCTTCGATTGATGTTACATACTAGTTATGTCTGTCGACATCAGTAGCACACAACACCCTCAGTCCCCCTTTAAAGCAGTCATTTTTGCGGTGGTTCTATTTTCCGTGCCAATTTTGTTTTCTGCGGTCTGTGCCAAGCTCTCCTTCAACTTTGTCTATTTAAGGTTCTCTATCATTTTACCAACCAATCTTAAACCAAAACGGTTGTTCATATATAAACACCATCAATTTGACAATAAATTATATAATTGAATTTTCAGTATAGGGGTTGTGGAGATTGTTAAGTTTTTGATTGAGATCATGAACCGATTGATATTAGATCACCATTGGAAACCTTGAAGCACTGGACGGCCGTTCCATTCTATTGTTGGACCCCTCAGTAGCGCGTACCCACGACCCCTCCCGCAGGATTCGAACCCAGGGCCTTCAGTCTCTCGCGCGAACGCTTGACATACTGGACCACTGAGCCGGCATCCAGTGGTGTTAATGTCTAACATTAACCAATCCACGAAATTGTGTGACCACCTTCCATTTTACTGAGGTAGACACCTGTTTCTATCTGACACGGATTAGCTCCACTGGTCACTACTTCTCACCAGAACTCCGAGAATTTTCTCGCGAAGCTAGTCATTAATGAGCACATGGTATGAACTGAATTTGTTTATCTGTAGAACACATGAGTAAATACAGTTTGAATTCATCAGACAAATTCAGTTTCTTTCAAATGTATCTGAGAAATTGAAAGAATATCAAATAATATAGTAAATTTATGCGAATTCAACAGTAGAATAGTATTTTCTTATTCATTCTTTCCAGACATTTTGTTAATATATGGCTGAATTTGTAGGTGATTCAACTATAAATAAGTTCGATCTCAACAGAATGGTTAATGCATATCATAGAAGAGTCATAAGCATCATGTTTGTTTAGTCATGTAACATATGTAACATAAACGAGTAAAAGTATAGGATGGTGGTTGAAGGAAGTCAACAGAAAACCCTTGACCTAGGATTCGTGCTACTTGGCACTCGTCAACAGAGTTTACCTATAATCATGAGGGGACTGAAGCTCCTTGATAGATTCGATTCTTTGTCACCCAGCTTTATAGTAGGAGACGTTACCATCAGACTATCCGGGTTGCAACTGACCTCCTGTAGTGATGAATCGATCATAAGTACATCTCAACCCGTCAGTGAGCATCAGTCCCCTCAACATAACAGGTACACCCTACTGACAAGTGCCAAGTAGCATGAAACCTAGGTCCAGAGATTTCTGTTGACTATATCCAACCATCATCTTATCACAACATAGTGCACGTAATGTCTAGTCACCTAGACTAGTGACCACATTCCAACTTAGTCTATAGGAATTGATCTGCATTAAGAAGTACTTGACATACATGACATTGATAGCCATCCGATGATCCATCAATCGTGAGTAGAAATATTGATTCTATCCTTATTATTAGTGTTGTTTTTAACATCTTAATACATACTGACCTGATTAAGATATATATATATATATATATATATATATATATATATATATATATATATATATATATATATATGTATATTGACCCACTACTTAATACTCTATTCAACAATATAATTGTCATGTATTGTATGAAAGTAACATTCAACTCAAACTTTTCAATAATGAGATAAATTGGTAGTTTATAATCATGGATTGATAATAGTTAAGTTAAGTCAATCCGTATTACAGATTTAACTAATTTTGTAATATTCTACATTAATAATTATGAACTACATAATGAAAAAAGACAAGTTTGTGCCGTAATAAACCATTAATACTTCATTCCAATTACTTTTGATGAATTATTTTTCCGGACTGCTGAGGAGTCCCAAAATAGGACGAAACGGCCGTCCAGTGCTTCAAGTATTTCAATGATAGTCTAACATCAATCAGTTCATGATCTCAATCAATAATCTCCACAACCCTATACTGATAAAGATAAATAATTCCCTTGCTTAGTCTAAGTCTGTTATGTTTTTCCTCCTGATGATGTGACATTGAGAATGAGGTTTGTGTTTCCTCATTCTACCATAATGACCATCATTTGTATGAACGTTTTTTGTGGGATTTCAAAATGTTTTTTGAATGGAAATCTTATAGTTGAATTCATGAGCTAATTGAAGCTTGGTCACCATGGAAAATCTAGAATCCCGCCCCGCAATATTTGAACCCAGGATCGTGGATGTGAACTGTTGAGGAGTTCCATCCTAGGATGAAATTTATCAAATTTCTTAGATTCTTTCAGAATTTATTGAAGGATTTTGAATTATTATCTAATGTTTATGAATCACATTAAATATTGTAATACAATAAAGCTTACAATGACTTCATCATCATTCTGGGCAAACATCATCAAAGCTTACTTTATGTGGAGGTTTCTACTCACAACCAGCTTTGATGATATAATCAAGAACAACAGTGAAACTTTATTTTAACTCTGTAACACAATTTATTTATTTATTTGAACACATAAATATTGGTACAAAAGGGTTATCGAGTACATATGCGCCACACAACTAACTTGCTTTGTGTGCAGGTTGTGATATTGCTACAGTGCCCAAACTGAAGCGGGTGGTTATCTCATAGGGTCACGCCCGAGGCCTTCGACCTGAAGGTCTGATCTACAGTGCAGTGAAGCAACGTCAGAAGATGCAGTCCCATGATAGCCGGTGACCAACAATAGGTTCATACGTCATTTGTTCCTTCAGGATGCTGGAGCCTATGTGCACCATTTGTTTGGAATCAGGATTTTCCAACTCCCCTAGATGGATCTTCCGTGTTCACCGAAACGGCTCAAGTGCCGAACATTCGTATTTCGTCCTCTCAATTTCGTAAACAAAATCCCCACCACTAGAATTCAGTGAGTAAGATTTTCCTGGCAAAGCTGTATACGCGTGGCTATAAGAGAGTATTTCGAGAAGAAGAGCTGACTCTCCCCACTTTCGGCCATACCAGGGCACTTGGGGGTGTCTACCATATCAAAAAGCAAACTCAGGACCATTTATTGTGAACAAATATCAATATCGGTGTTTTGAGATCAAATAATACCATCGATTTTAATTTCTCTACATTCATTATTCTGTTTTATCAATCAATGATGAAAAATAAACTTTATATTCCGTTTATTAATTTGATTCCATGATATTTTGTAGCAGAATTGAATGTTAAACATATAGTTAAACAAATAGGTTTTGTATGATCGAAATTATTTATTTTCATGTAGTCTTTAATCAGATTGGCCTTTTTTCAACAAGATCTTTTTCAACGGGATGAGGTCGCCGACTCCATACCCAACCGTTCTCCTTTACTCGGACTTGGGACTGGAAGTAGTTGTAGAAATGCTGCAGGACGGGGTTGGATGAAGAGTGCCGGTGAGCGGCCAATGCTCTTAGACAAGGGGTAACAGGCGTAAGTAAGTGAGTCTTGAATTAATGCATACGCGAAAGTAACTGTTAGTTAAATCATGCTAGTTTATGACTCTTAGAAGGCGTAGATCGTAAACACTACCAGTGGCCGATCGTTTATAATTCTACTAGAATGTTCTGAACATAAACTCTGAGAAGAAACCTAGTCTATTGCTAAACATCTCTATATTAATAGCAAAGATGAATAGTGGCTGACAGTGGAATTCAGGACGCGAGTTTTGTCCTGCCCGGGACCCTTCAGCTGAATGTACAAATAGGCGACTGACCAATGGCAGCCCTAATCATCAATGGGAAGATCCATGTAAAACAATACGAAGTTAATCTCTATATTAGTTAGATGCAATCATTTAACACTCGATAATCTAAAGTTAATCGCTATGATAAGAGATATTTTCATCGACAGATTATTATTTATCTTTCAGTAAGTATGTTCATTATAATCATCATATGCTCACTAGTGCCTGGCTTCAAGAGGTGTTTCCAGGAGTTCTAGTGGAAAGCCATAATCAGTGAAGTTCAACCCGGTCTGTTGTGAGATAGCAACTCACTGATGACAATATTGGATGTGTCGATCAATTTCGTGGATTAGTTAAAGTCAGACATTAACACCTATGGATGCCAGCTGGCTTAGTGGTTTAGAGGTTAAGCTTTCGCCCCCAAGAATGATAGGCCCTGGGTTAGAAGCTTCCGGGGCAGGGTCGTTGATGTGCACATCTGAGGAGTTCCATACTAGGAAGAAACCGCCATCCAGTGTATCTATGTTTTTTCATGGTGGCTTAGCTTTAATTGATTCATGATATCAATTAATAACTTACTACAATCTCTAACCAATCAAAGAAACTATAATGAATATAAAGTAACATTTGAAATTTTACAATTACGTGATTGGTAACACGTATCTTAGTGATAATTACATCAATCATGGTAACTGATCATACTTTAATTGGTTCAACTTATATATTATTAAAGATGATCGAATAGTTTACAGATTGATTTGAACCTAATAGATACATTAAAACAATGAATCATATTAAAGAATATCAATTTAATAATAAAGTCTTATTATCATTCATTATGATATTCTGTTTATTTATGTATAATGCAATTCATTTCGCTTATTGGAATGTGGATTTTACAACTTATTCAACTAACTACAATGAAATCCATGGTAAGTTATATTATGATAAAGTAATAGTTAATAAAAATATGTTTATCATCAGAGAGGGATACTTATGAATATTATAGTAATTTCAATAGTTCAGATCATGAATCAATTGAAGCTAGACTAACAAGGAAAATCCTGGAAGTATTGGATGGCCGTTTCATTCTAGTATGGAACTTTCCACTAGTGCACATCTACAATCCCAAACCCGGGACTCGAGCCTAGGACATTTGGCTTCGCAAGTGAATGCTTATACTCTAGACCACCGAGTTCGTATCCAACTGTGTTCATGTATAACTCCAACCAATACACGAAAATGCTCGACCATTTTCCATTGTCCGAGGTAGATATCTGTCTCTACCTGACGTTGATTGGTTCCATTGATGATGGCAATTTCGTTGGTTGGTTGAAGTTAGATATTAACAAGGTTGGATGCAAGCTCAGTGGTCTAGAGGTTAGTCGTTCGCACGTGAGACTGAAGGTCCCAGGTCGAGTCCTGTGAGTAGGATCGTGGATGCACATTGCTGAAGAGTTCCATAGTAGGACGAAACGACCGTCCAATGCTTCCGGGTTTCCAATGGTAGTCTAGCTTAAATCGACTCATGAATTCAACCATTAAATTTTTTCTTATTTATAGATAAAAATTCACATCATTAATGTATTGGAACCTAGAAACAAGACAATATCTCACCGTCTTATACTATCAAGTAGTAGTAGTCGTAGTACACTTCTAAATTGTGATCAAAATACTAACGTGTACTTTTAACTAGTTCAATTAATTTATACAGTCAATTTATTATCAGAAGGTTTTGTGGAGATTTTTTTACTAAAGTGATAGTTGAATTTATGAGTTAATTAAAGCTAAGTAAACATGAGAAACCTGAAAGGACTGGATGGCTGTTTCGTCCTAGTATGGGACTTTCCAGCAGTGCTCATCTACAATCCTACCTCGCGAGATTCGGACCTAGGACTAGGCCCCTGAGCCGCTCAGGTTTTCCATGGTGGTCTGGCTTCAATGGACTCATTATCTCAACTATTGAAATTACTATAAAATCCACAAAAACCCTTCTGAAAATTTCTTTGTTTTAGGAAAATAAAATTCCCATTGTACAGAACTTTGTAACAGTTGTTTCATGTTAATATGAGATTAGTGTGGACTAGAGGGAAGGTTCATTATCTGATAAGTCTTCGAATTGAACGTTAGATTCGGCATTTATGATTTTGATTTGAGACTGTTCAAAGCGCTTCTCTTAACGCTCCATATAATTATATAGTCTCTCCAAAGAAATATTCATTATAGTTTTTCCCGTCGCCATTCATAAGTTTTCTAATTGAACGTTAGATTCAGTTCCCTAAGCTCTTCTAGTAACCGCCAGGCTAAATTTACACAGTGACTTAAACACGAGGAAAAATGTGCGAAATATGGGAAAAACGCTTTACTTCAAAGGTTCGTTTACCTACAAAAAATCTAGGGCTTTATAGTATTGTAAATGTCCTAGGGTATCCGGGAAATTCTGGAACGCTACTAAACCTAGAAGCGGTATATATAATCATCTAATCCAAAACTCGGCATGTGAAATTTCACTTTCTAGATAATTCTGGGAAATCTTCAAGTGAATGCTAATTGGATAAGATGCTTCTCAATATTCTCAGAGCCTTTTTTGGCATCTTTTCTCTAAGTGTTTTCTGGATCTGTTCAACAATATCTTCTCCGTTGATTGGGATTCACAAACTTATGTAAATTTATACTTATTGAATAAATATACTGTTCATAATAGTAAGGTAATTGTTTGGATATTTGTAGTGAAGTTCAGAAATGGAGTTATGGCCATGTTTAGCCACAGAAGCAGTAGATCTCAACATAAATAAAGGGAAAATCAAGATTCTCCAATACAACACAGCATTCATCAATCGAATCATACTTGATGGAGAAGGTTTGGAAGATGTTAAAACCTTTACATATCTGAGCAGCGTCATTGATGAACACAGTGGATCTGATGCAGATATGAAGCAGAGGATCGGCAAACCAAGGGCAGTATATATACAACTGAAGAACATCTAGAACTCACAATAAATCTCAACTAACACCAAAGTCATAATTTTCAATACAAATGTCAAGACAGTTCTACTGCATAGGGTGGAAACTTGGAGAACCACAAAAGCCATCATCCAGAATACATAAGTGTTTATCAACAGTTGTCTACACAAAATACTTCCGATCCATCGGTCGGACACTATCAACAACAACCTACTGTGGGAGAGAGCAAACCAGATTACAGCGCAGAAAGAAGGGCTGGAAGTGGATAGGACACAGATTGAGGAAAACACCCAACTGCATCACATAAAAAGCGCCCACATGGAACCCTCTACGCCAAGGGAGAAGAGGAAGACCAAATAATACATTACATCGAGAAATGGAGATAGACATGAAAAAATGAACGAAAATTGGATAGAACTAGAAAGGAAGGTCCAGTACATAGTGGGTTGGAGAATGCTTGTCGATGTCGACAGATATGCGGTATGTATCATCAATCAAAAGTGAAATGCCTGGAGGAAGAATGTTAAGAAGATCAAAGAAAAGAGAACGAGAACAAAGAATGATTGGTGTGAGGTCGAAAAGACAATGAAATCTGAGACGATTAATTAACATTTTGTAATTGAACTATTTACTGCATGATTCTCAGACTTTACTAATAGAGTCTGCAATACACTTGATTGTCCCCACTTTTGTTTTTGTTTTTTAAAGTAGTCCAACTTATATCGCTCCATAATACTCATAAAACACAACAATCTCTATAATCCTATACTAATAAAATGTTACTATTATGTATTTTGTTCTGTGCAGTACTGTTTTTGGTTTTTAGGCAAATCTTCAATGGACTAGTTCTAAACATCTTGCATGTGCTAAACCATTTTTAAAATTAATGCTTACAGAGATACTACCAATTAATATCAATAAAGTAAGTCACATTCTTCACTCTTACCAATAATGTGTTGATAAATGCAAAATGGGGGAGGGTTGCAGATGGTAGGGATTTACAGAATCGTTTACAAAATATTATGATTATATGTAAAATGAATGGTTGAGGTCACTTTCAGATCACCAGGTTAACATAACATTTCCATATTTGAATGAAGTCATGTAACCAAGGCAAGTGTAATGAATATTAGCTATGCATAATTGTTATGTCCTCTGGTTTGTCTACCCACTTTTGGTGCGGAGAATACTTATCTAACTCAGATTAAGACCTTGGCGCGATAGGCCGACCGACTTAACTTTGAGTCTAGTACGCGTGAGTTCGAAATGGGGTAGAGAGAAGTAAACTATTCTATCACCTGATTGGCTGACAAGCACGCGGATGAGAGAAGACAAGACAACTGGAACACTACTCGATCTATTCCTGATATCCTGATTTCAGATTAGTGTAAAAAGGTATATGAATAAATAGGTGACTAATCCGATCACAACGTACAATAATTGGGAAAAATACAAGTATGTCCAAAGCTGGGAATCAGCGTAGAAAATAAGATGCAAAATATTATGTTTAAATTACAATAGCTTCGAAACAGAAAAAGGGTATGGCAATGAATCATACATCGAATGAAAGCTTATGTTCTGTAGAATAGAATAGGGACAAAAATAAGTGTCAGCGTTTTACAAGCTTTGAATAAAATGAAATAACGTCCTGAAAAATAACTTTCGTAGTTTGTCAGGGTTTCTTGTTTCTCTGTTCACAACAATATTGAAAAATAGTATGGTGTTATTAATTGTAAAAATATTGAAATAGTCAACTGAGTTTCATTGTTTTTTTTACTCTTAATTAAACCATTCGAATTCTCACATGAAATGATTCTGTAGATATTGGTTCAAGCTTCGATATTTAAATACTTAATTCTTATTGTTAGATAAATAAATATATCAGTATAAGGGATTTGTGGAGAATGTAGTATTGTCACAGTTTAAATTGTAAACCTATATAAGCTACACCATCATAGACGATCTGTAAGCAGTGGAAGAGTGTTTCGTCCTAAAATGAGGTTCCTCAGCAGTGTTCATCCACGATCCTGAATGTGAAACCCGAACTCGGGATCTATCAAACATACCTCTCAATTTTTAATATTCTAACTTGGATAGCAACACTGAACTATAATGATATCTTTCTTGACTGAATAATAATTCAATGAGTATCTGAAATTTCACCACATTATTGAACAATACCAAGAGAATTTGAAATGGTTTAAATGGTTGTATAGCAGATATTAATTCACTGATCTTAAGTTTCTGGTAAAATTAGACTTTATATGACTGAGTAATATAAATATTTTCTAGTAACTAACCACTTTTAAGTTAGTAACATCCAAGTAAATCAAAGATATCTTCGAATAATCTTCCAAAACAGTCGAAAAATACCCCATTTCAAATGAATTTGATATAACTCATATGGTTCGTCCGCTGTTTTCCAGCCCGAATAGACTCTGACATATCTTTCGTAACACTCATGCATAAAAATCAATTAATTAATCAACCGTTACACACACCTACGTGAAGTGATGTTTGAAGCGTCGGTAATGACTCAAGAAGTAAGAAAAAAATTGCTTAAAACATCCTAACTCATAAATAACATTTCGAAGCTTCTAGTCAAACTTTAGGAGAATATTGGGTATACATTCTTGGTTCTGATTAGGAAGTTATAAAGATAGTCACTAATTTTACCATTTTCTAAGTAGCTATATATTTCAATAGTTGACATCATGATTCAACTGAATCTAGTCCACCATGGAAAACCTGAATGCACTGGACGGCCGTTTTGTCTTAGTGTGGCACTCTTCAACAGTGCGTATCCATGATCCGACCTTGAGAGTTTCGAAACCAATACCTATCGGTCTCGTACGCGGACATTTAACCTCTAGACCAATAAGCCGGTATCCAATGGTGTTAGTGTCTAATTCACGAAACTGAGAAATACATCCATCATAATCTATGTATATATTCTCAAGGTTATAGTTGATACCATAAAAACTCTTATATCTTGCATATAAACCAATCGTTAAATTAAAATTCCCTTTCAACTTCATATCTCCTATTTAGGTGTTCAAAATATATTGTCAACTATAGTTTACATACATCATTGTGAAATTCTTTTCTAGGTTATTGTGCTTGACATTGATATACTTCTTAACACATATATTATTGAATTATGGAATCACTTTGAAAATTTCAATGGAATTCACGTTTGTCTATATTAACTTAAATCTTTGTTATTGATGAATACGTTTTCTCTAATAGAGTAATAGAGTATGGTATCATAGGTATAATAAGCAGTTGTTGAAGTTACTGTATAACGATTTTATGTGAGTACAAGGCTTATTAGAAGTATGTGTTCACTATTCCACATGTGATAGTGTGGTGTGTGGTACTTATATTGACATAAGTAGTATATGATGTTAGTCGTGGACAGAATGTCTGGCAGCAGAGAGACAAGAGGATTGAACAGTAAAGAATGGAAACAGCATGAAATTTGTATGAGAATGTAAGAACAATGAAGTCTGAGTCATTTTGAGACAATTGATGGACATTTTGCAAATTAAGCATTAACTTTATGATTGTTAGATTTTATTAATAAGACTTGTGAGTTTGTGTTATATACATTCGATTGTCCCCACTGGTGTTATTGTTCACTACAATAGAACCTAGGGACTTTTCGTTACACAGAATTACTCGGTACGTCAGGTTGATTATTTGGACTTGAGTACAATTCAAATCTCATCTCAATTATATTCTACATAAACAGCATGGAAAAATATACTAGATTTCAGTTACTAGTAGTCTGTTAATTAAAGGAAAGTTTCGATGGTTCAAGTATGGTTTCACTAAAGAAATATGGATTATATGCAGATACACAAAATATATTAACATTCGAGTGCCTGAAATTCCATCCTAACACAATAAAGACAAACCTATACATTCATGAAATACTTGAGTAGAATTTTATCTGTAATCAGCATATTCTGTCAGATTCATTTGGAACATCCGTTAACATCCATGTCTTATTATTACTGAGATCTCTTTTTGGTTATAAATATATCTGATTGGTTTCTTTCGAAACAATCAGCAGTTAAGATTCTTTACAACAACTAAACCATAACAGTAGAGTAGTGAAGCTTTAAATTCAATAAGCACCTCAGGTAGGAGCATTTTATTCAGAATAATGGAACTAGTGTATTGCATTTAAACGATTACCGGCTAGTAAATTGACTGAGCAAGATTTAGGATTCATTTAATTCTAGAGTTATAACGTTAACTACAAAGTAATATGAATGAACTTTATGTGTTATTCTTGAGTGGTAGTTTAAAACTTTATACTTCCTTCGAATGATTTACATATATTCATGGCTTTTTTAAAGAGCATGGGCATTGGATTAGAACAAAACCCACATTTTCAAGGTGTTATGCCAAAATTAGAAAGTAACTGGTAAGTAAGTTCAAATGCTTTGAAATATCATTTAATTTTGGAATGAATCATTTACAACTTTTATTTTTTTTACAAAAAATACTAAACTACTTTTTGTGAAATAATAGTAGCTTCAGATAAATTGCAGAATTTTTCCTTGTTTACGTCAGATTGAAGGGATAAATATGAACCATTAGATGGTTTATCAAAATCATTGAATTTTATTTCCATTAACCTATGAGTTAAAATATTTGTCGTCTTTAGCTAATTCTTAAGTTCAGTCTTCAACTTGACGTCTGTTGTTTTGCCTAGTGATAAGTAGTCAACATAAAGCCTTGGCTCAAATGTATGGTACTACTTGGTACTTGTATAGGAATGTGTGTATCAACAATACTGAGAGATCAGATATTCCTAATAGGATATTAGTCTACTTCTTTGGTGGAATCTCTAGAATACAGACGTCAATTAGTCCGAAGCTACAACAATACCTCAATTAAGTATTCTTTTTATTGAAGCAGTTACTAAAAGAATTTAAAAATGACATTTATTTATACACATGAAAATTGGTTCAAAAAGGCACCAAACATATATGCACCACATAAATCACTCAATTTACATGAGGGCTGGGATAATTCACGGTTGCTGAAACCGAAGCAGGTAGTTTTCATCTGAGCCCCACACCGAGCCTTTAACCTAACGTTTTAATCCACAAGTTATGAGATGCATTTCCATGGTAGCCGGTGGCCACTGGTTTAGAATTAGGGTTTCTCAACTCCTATAGGTGGGTTCTCCGTGTCCACAAACCCGGTTAAAGAATCGGACATTCGCTTATCGTCCTCTCAATTTCGTAAATAACACCTTCGACGCGAGAAGCCACTGATTATAAATATCTCAATGCAACAATTTATCTGTCAACTTTTGCTAAGTAAATTTTTAATAGTTGGATTCATGGGTCAATTAAAGTTACACAAGCGTAGAAAACCTGGAAGCACTGGACAGTCGTAACCGGGCCTGTTGTGAGATAGCAACTCACTGAAGACAATAGTAGACGGTGCTGAAAGTTCATGGATTGGATGAAGTTAGACATTAACATTATTAGATACTGGCTAAGTGGTCTAGAATTTAAACGTTCACGCGCTAGACCAATGGATTCTGAGTTCGTTTCTCAAGTACAGGATCAGGGATGCGCACTGCTGAAGAGCTCCACACTGGGACGAAAAAGCCGTCCAATTCTCCCAGGTTTTCAATAGTGGTCTAGTTTCAATCGACTCATGAATTTAACTATTGAAAATACTATAATATCTACAAAAACCCCTTTCTGAAAATTAATGCGCGTTCTGGATTTCACTTTTAGACATCCGCTTATAGTACGGACGAAGTTGTATGAAATGATGATGCATTCAGTGTGCGATATATTCATCATTTTGGGTTAATAAAATATCATTTATTCCTTGGACTTTCATTCTTTATATTACTACTAACTTTATCTTTTATACTTTTAAGACAAAAAGTGATTTCTCATCAATAGATTGTTAGTCTAAATCTAGTTTTTGAATGATTATTCCTAGATATTGCTGGCTTTTGCACATATTACAAATACTTTTTATCTATTATTTGAACACATAAGGGGGAAGTGAATCCATATACGCTACACAAGTCACTTGATGTGTGTGTGGGGTATGATACTGCCCGGATCCGCAGAGCTTGGTAAATGGTTTTCTTAGTAGAGCCTTCAACCTAAAGGTCTGGCCCACAAATCAGTGGGACAATGTCAGAAGATGCAGTCTCATGGTAGCTAGTGACCAACTATCGGTTGATAAGCATTTTGTTCCTTTAGAATCCTGGACACCATGGCATCATTCGTTTGGGATCAGAGTTTACCAACTCCCTGAATAATGATACATACTACTTATAGCGTTTTTTAGCGAGTTAGATTCCTACGGGATGAGGTTGCTAAAGCCATGCCTAACCCTCCTCCTTTATCCGGGCTTAGGACCGGCAATAGCCCCAGAGGTGTTCTGGGCAGATTTACATACTACTTATATCTATTGACATCAGTTGCACATAACATAATATAATACTTTAATAGTTATTTGTTTTCTTATCAATTTTAGGATATTTTAAACCTAATATTATTCCAATTCAAATACATTTTATATGAGATTCCATGTGAATGGAATATTCAATTAAGTGAAGGAATTGATGAACAACGATGTCCTGTAAGTTGGTTAACTTATGCAGAATTGTAAAAGCGTAATTATCCAACAATTTTTAAACAACCAAAACTTATTCATATTATTCATCTTATTAAACCAAATGATATATTACTGAATGAAATCCCAACTGAATACACTGATTATTTGGACATTATCCTTAAACGTAAGTAAACGTATAGTTAAATACACAATCTTTGATAAACTTAATTCAATAGTTGAATTCAAGAGTCCATTAAAGCTAGACTACCAAAGGAACCCTGAAAACATTGGAGGGACGTTTCGTCCTAGTATGGGACTCTTCAGCATTGCGCACTCACGATCCTCCCGGTGGGAATTGAACCCATGATCTCAAGTCTTGCACGCGAGCCCCGAACCTCTAGACCATCATGTAAAATACAGTTCAAAAAATTGGATGAAATCAAATAATAAAGGTATGACGTAATCTTGGAAGAAAAAATTTAAAGAAACATAAAAAGTGAAGAGATTTATTCAGTCTTTACATGAACGATTCAATATATTTGATGGTTAATGTACAAACACAAGCTTCATGCATTTGAATTTACAGTTTATGAACTCATACTTTTATGTTAGCTGACTTTATACTTCTTCCGGACCACTCCTATCTTGCTCAACTAATAAAGTAACATAAACGAACCATATGAACTCACATATTTACCGTTTATCAAATTATCAAATTGCAACACATATGCAGTCATACTTGACACACGATCATTCCATTAATTATCAGAATGGGGTTGTGGAGATTATTAAGATTTTCATTGAGATCATGAATCGATTGATGTTAGACCAACACTGAAAACGTGGAAGCACTGGACGGCCGTTTCATCCTATCGTGAGACCCCTCAGCAGTGCGCGAGTTTTTGGTTAAACATTACCACCATTGGGTACCGGCCCAGTGATCTCGAGGTTAAGTTTTCGCACACGAGATCAAACGCCCTGGGTGAGAACACCGTGAGCGGGATTGTGGAGCCCCACACAAGGACAAAAAGGTCTTCCATTGAATCCAGGTTTTCAATACTGGTCTAGTTTCAAATGACTCATGAATTTAAGTGCAAAATTACTGAAATCTCCGTAAAATGCCTTCTGATAATAAGTGTCTTTTTAGTCATATCTAAAGTAATAGGAAAACTGTATTTTTGACGTTTTGATGTAATAAATAACTGAATTAAAGTAACACATTCATTTGATATTGTTTACTTGAATCATCCCAATGATGTTTAGGACTACAATTGATCAGTCTCTTGTTGGCATATGTATATACTGTGCGTATTGGCCATAAATTGACTCAATTCACAAACATTATAAGCAAAGATGGATAGTAGTGGAATCCAGGACGCGCGTCCCATTCATTTCGAACTCGTCAGCTGGATGTACCTACATCTCAGCTAACGGTACTGAGTTGGAGTCTCAGAGTGAACATCAACCTTGTGATGTAGGTACATCCAGTTAAAGTGTAGTGACTCACTTTTATCACGAGAACACGATTGGTTTATTGAAAAAAATTATTGTTATAACCAATTGTACCAGTGACTGTTTTAATGTGCTTTTGTTTAACTGTGCTAAAAACATCCATTATTCTTACACTTTGATTGTGACTTCGCGCGAATTCGGTTACGTTCTGTAACCAAGCTTGTATCCTGGCACGATCTCGGTATCCTTTCGATACCACGAGATCGCCAGCAAATATACCTCGATTTGGTCCATCAACTGCCTTCTGATATTTGACTTCCGGGGGATTTTATGGAGTCATTTGGCACGCGTTTCTTGGTAGCGGTGTTTATAGTCGATTTCTACTCGACTCCACAATACAAAAGTGTCCGAAATAGGATGAAGTACGAGTCCTTGTTCCCATATCATTAAACTGTTTCAATGAATAATAAATGAAAAATACTGTTCAACTGAACCATACCTCGTCCGTTCCATACTCATATTTTACCCATCTAACAACTGAACAACGTCTATACTTTGAAACAATAGACCACAATATTATGAAGCATTATTTTCACCTACCATGCTATCAATGACTATAATTACGTAATCATGTTGATTTTCTACTGAATTGTAGTTTTATTTGTAGAGCAGGAACTATATGTCAAATTCGTGTCAGTTTACTGTCAATATACTCAATTACATGAATCATGTTTCCAATAGATTCAATTGAAGAACCTATCAGTTTGATGTTGTTCTTTCAATCATTTAGTTGATGGACTATTCCTTGTCTTCATTCAATAGAATGGATTATCTTTTATTTTTTGTATTTATATCAATACACTTGAAACAAATTTGGTTAATGATAACAAGGTGATATTCTAAGACTATTTCTAGTGAATTGTGTGTATCTACTAAATTCATGAAATATGGTCGTTGAATGAAATGATTATAGAAAGTAGGTGAAACTTACTAAACAAGAACATGGTGAAAGAAAATAAGATCATGTCATTAGCTGAACAATCAACTGAATGGTATTTGTCACAATGCATCACTTGCCTTGATTATAAAAAAGAATCTAATAGTACGGATAGAAGAACCTATTGAAACGTTCTTCGAAATTATTGTGTAAACGTAGAAATTATATGCAACATACAAAATTCACACGACGGATAACAATGGAATGTTCTGTATGGAAGAAGGCTGACAGACGCATTTCAAGTGAGGATCAGAGTCAGACAAGGCTGTGTACTCTCGTCATTCCTCTCTTTCTTCTAATGGTCGACTGGATTACAAAGACATCGATATCTGAAGGGAGGCACGGAATAGAATCGACAAATCGAAATCAATTAGAAGATTTGGACTTTACAGATGACCTGACCTTTCTATCCCATACACATCAACAAATGCAGGTTAAAACAAATAGTGTAGCTGCAGCATCTCAATCAGTAGGACTCAACATACACAAGGGTAAAAGCAACATCTTCAGATATAACACAAAGAACACCAACGCAATCACACTTGATGAAGAAACTCTGGAAGGAATGGAAACATTCACGTATCTGGGTGGTGTCATCGATGAACAAGGACGATCTGATGCAGACTTACTGGCGAGGATTGGCAGAACAGGAACAGCATTCCTACAGTTTAAGAACACATGGAAGTCAAAACAACTGTCAATCAACATCAATGTCCGTTGGCTGGATACCATCAGCAACATCATATTGTGGGAGAGGACAAACCAGCTTCCAGCTGAAGAGGAAATTAGGAAAAACCGCTGGAAGTGGATACAACACGCATTGAGGAAATCATAAAACTGCATCACAAGGCAAGAGCTTACTTGGAATCCTGAAGGGGAACGGAAAAGAGGAAGGTCAAAGAACGCACTGAGTCGAAAATTGGAATCACAAAGCATAAGGATCAATAGCAACTGGCAAAGATTGCTCAGGACAGAGTTACATGGAGAATGATGGTGGGAGGCCTATCCTCCTTCATGAGGGGCAATATGCATAAATTGAATATGATGTAAATTATCCATTTATTTGTGACTTCAGTCAGCTTTAGTTAGGTTAGCATTATTTGAAGCGGCATCTCTGTCATTGAGTTGCTCGTAATCCAGTTATCAGACTATGCAATCAAAACAAGGCATTCAACAAGATGTAAGCATTAGAACACCGTAAGTGCTTCATGGTCAGGTCTAAACAAACATTTTAAAAGAGGTACACTAATAATCAAACTTACTTCGGATCTATAAACGGTATCTTGATAGCTCGCGATTCCAAATCTGGTAAGATGACCATACTGAAATAGGATAGATTATACATTAACTTCACGTTCATTGTTGATCCGTCAAGTTTGAAGAAATCACTGTCGTGTGAATCCTCGTAAGGGAAAGGTAGATTCCATAAACCTGTCAAAGGTAATCACACATAAAGTTGACAGCAGATATAAAACACAGTAATAAAAAATCAGGTAATAAAAGTCTGATTTGAATATACTATTGTTGACGACTAAATAAATAATACTACCTTTAAAGTATGTAGTGGAGACCACAACAGCTGACGTTCCTTCTGATAAAGCTTCTCGTGGGATAAGTTCTTGGATTGTTCCGTTGGTCTGTTCGCTAACCCACTGATTAATTCGATTTTGAGCACATTCCGGATCTCTATGAAACGCAACCTACACAAAGTTTGATAAGGCAGAATTCATACTCACATGCTCAGCCAGTGCATTGTAATGCTGCTTGATGATATTTTTAAATCGTTTCTCAATTTGCGCATCCTCATTTACATAGAATCTATTTCCAACGATTATCTCAACACTCTCATCAGGCTTTGAAAGATCAGCCAGAAGTTCACCAATCGCGCTGTGGATTTTTTCCTGTTCCAAGCAATCAGATAACTGCATCGCTTTTATCAACTCAGCATTCGTATTGTTTGCACTTCCACAGAGGATCATTCCGAGGGCAGTATAGATATTGAAAGGGGAGAGAAATGTATTCTCCAAATAACCTAGAAGCAACAAATACATCTTGAGGGACGCACTTACCCTCGTTTCTTTTCAAAATCTGCCTATATATGTTTTCGCTGAAGTTTCCAAGTGATTGTATTATATCCATCACGTTTGAAATTAGTGTGTTAAATGGTCAGCTTGAAAAAACTATTTGTAGTGGAAGAACACTACAAATGGTGCGTGAATAAGTCATTATTAAGAACTGCGAAGTGATAATAGGATATTATAATATAGTAAGAAGTTTTTGATCATGCAGATGCTTTAACTGATTCAGGTACATGCGATTTCCTTCATGAACATCGTAGCTGAGTGACTTCGACCTTTCTATAATGTTTCGAATTATTTGAATTATAGCACGAACTAAGAGTCCAAGAAATAACGCAATTGAATTAAGAAGACACAGGCACAACCGAATGTACTGAATTTGGAATTCGAAATCGTACAATCAACCAGTACCATAGTATCATTAGTTCGTTCAAACATCACATCCGCCACAGCTTAAATTGGAGTCTAGGTGTTTGTAGTCAATCGTACGTCTTCTTCTCAAATTCATTTTGGGTCTGTCTGCCATTATATTCGAAAAGGATTCTGTATTATCTAGAATTTGCTCATTAGCATTAGAATTAACAACGGAAATTCGAACAGACTCACCTGGTTCCTGAAATTGTATTTGATCAACATTTTGACTGTGTGTACTTAAATCATTGATGTCTAGAATTCGCACCATCGATTTTCCGACATTCTTCAGAACAATACCCGTAGATGGTCGAAGATCATTTCCTCGATAATATGTAACTTCTGCAGACTCCAAACATCTCATATTCGACCGAAGAATTCTGCCTTTGAATAGCTACACTGGCGTCTCTTTCGTCACCAAATGTATGGCATTTCTATATTGCGATAGAAAGGTATCTACTCCCCTCTCCAGCTGATTAAATGTTGAGGCAACTATAGAATCAATAGCAGTCTTTAATGTCTTGACAAAATTCTCTGCCTGACCATTAGAACACGGATGTCTGGGAGCAGTAAACAGATGTTTGCACCCTATACCGTTCAACCAGTTAGTGACCGCATCTGCAGCAAAGTGAGAACCATTGTCAGTCACTAACACCATTGAAACCCCTTCTCGACTAAACGCTTTTCTTAATGCTTGGATTGTGAAGTCAGAATTAAGTAAAGTTGTAAAAAAACTTCAGGCCATTTTGAAAAAGAATCAATAACTACTAGTGCATAGTATTTACCAAGAAACGGACCACAATAGTTAGCATGAATTCTCTGCCAGGCCTCAGACGATACTGACCATGGCGTCCATTTCGAAGGATGACTTTTCAACTGATGACATTTCTCACAATTGTTTGCTGTACGACATATATCTGCATTTATCTCTGGCCACCAACATGTGAGCCTTGCCAAGGACTTCATTTTCTCAACACCTAAATGACCACTATGAAGATCTTCAAGAACAGATTTACGCAATGAAGGAGGAATGATAACACGATCATTTAAACACAGAATACCATCAGGAGTAGTAGATAGCTCGTCCCTCTTTGAAAAATAGTCAGAAAATCTACGTTTCAAATTAGCAGTCCAGCCTTTTCGTATAGTACTGAGTATACATCCAAAATATCTGCGAGTTTCTCTAATGAGATCTGGACGTCTCACTGGTAAAGGTTGCACTAACAAACAGTCCGAAGTATTAATAGGTCGATCTTGTAATGACTGTCGAGAAATGTAGTCAACATGTTGAATTTGTTTGGCACTTCTGTGTTGAACCGTATAGTCATATGCACTCAAAGCAATACTCCATCGTTGAACCATAGCAGCTGAGGAACGTGCTAAGGATTTTTCAGGATGATGAATAAACTTTAAAGCTTCATGATCAGTAACAATAGTGAATTTCTTTCCGAATAAATATTTATGAAGTCTTTTAGCAGCCCAAAACACAGCTAATGCTTCTCTCTGAGTCTGTGAATAACCTTGTTCAGTAACAGTGAGTTTGCATGAAACACAAATAACTGGTCTACCTTCCTGTTCCAAAACTGCACCAATTCCCACAGGTGATGCATCAGTAATAAGCACAGAATGTAACTAGGGGAGTACGTTCGAAGAACAGCGTCACTTTGAAGAAACTTTAGTAGATTACGTAAGCATGACTCTTGTTCCTCACTCCATTTGAATGAATTGGATGTCAAAATATTAAATAAACGATTTGCACGACAAGAAAAATTAGGAATAAAACGTGAATAGTATTGAAGAGCACCCACTAGTGAACTTAGTTCCGTAAGATATTTTGGAGACGGTGCATTTGTCCGTTGAGCTCGTCGTTTCATATCTGGTCTAAAACCATTACCATCAATTAGGTATCCAAGGCAATCAAAACTAAATACACAAAATGAAGACTTATTTGAATTTGTAACAGCATAGGTTGGTTGGTTAAGAGTTGACCCCAAACAACCAAGCATATGCCAAAACAGTATTTTTCAAGTATTCATTCACTTCCTTATTTTGTATAAGCGTTATATTCCTTATTATCTTATATTGAATGTTGAAAGCCTTTGTTTGTCTGAACAGATAATCCCACGCTCCACTGTGACTGCGCTAAGATCGAAATAAAGACCTATTCACTTCTTGTCTGGATTCTTCTATCAATAGCACGAGGGTTACCTATAGGCACGAAACTGGTGAGCCCTTTTTGAACACAAATTAACCTCATTTTTGTTATTATTATTATTTTTTTACTCAATTGTAAAAGTAGACCTGATTATCCGTAAACTAAGTTGGGTATATAAAGTTTATTTTTTTATTATCTTAAGTTATTCGTGTTATAGAAACCATTTTTTTCGTGCTAATTTTATTGCTATATTTGTCACATACCTCATGTCAGACTTAAAAGAAACCCATAATCTGGAGGATTTGTCACCAGTGGAGATAGACACTGTTATGACTACGAAATCTCGACTTCCAGAATTTGATCGTAGTGATCCTGAGTTGTGGTTTGCTCAACTAGAGCATTATTTCACGAGACACAATATCAAATCTGAAGGGATTCGCTATAGAAATTTGTGTTCTATCCTTCCTCCTTCAGTCGCCAAAGAAGTCCGTGACTTGATTTTAGATCCACCATCACCACAACCGTACACCATCTTAAGACGAGAAATAATGAACCGTTTATCATTATCAGATAGTCAAAGAATCCAAAGACTTTTTCAAGGTGAAACACTAGGTGATCGGTCGCCGTCACAGTTTCTACGTCACCTCCAAGTCTTAGTGGGTGATAACACAGTGGGTGAAGCAGTCCTAAAACAAGGATGGATACAAGCTCTCCCATGCTACGTCCAACACTGTTTGGATGCACAAGATCCTGAAACCTCATTATCTCATTTAGCGCGTATAGCTGATAGAATAATGGAAAGAGGTCCTCCAACTGGATCAGCCACAATAAATCACACACAAAAAGTAGAATCAGCAAAAGACCCCGTCATAGAAGGACTCATTGCGAGTGTTAAGAGTCTCACTGAGGCTGTCACCAGAATGCAAATGGGTCATACAAACAGGAGCAGGTCACCACAACGATCACGATCCAAGTCACAAAATAGGTCACAAATGTCCGGACAATCTGGGCAGTTTTGTTGGTACCACTGGAAGTTTGGTGTCAACTCAACCAAGTGTAGGCAACCATGCTCCTGGCCTAAGCATAATTCCAAGACAGCGGGAAACGAGTAACTCCTCCCCAGGTCGCGACGACTGAGGAGGGGCGCCTAAAAAGTCGACTGTTTTATGTTGGAGACAGAAACTCGGGCTTGAATTTCTTGGTGGATACTGGCGCTGCTCTTAGCATCATCCCTCGAAATAAAACTGAGATTAGTCGAGAAACATCCCCGATTACACTTCAAGCTGTAATAAAACTACAATCGCGACATTTGGGCAGAAAACGTTAACCCTAGATTTGGGGTTCAGGAGGCAATTCCCTTGGGTTTTCACGGTAGCCGACTTAAATCTGGCAATACTGGGAATGGACTTTCTAGAGAGATACGAATTTCTAGTTGACACCAAGAAACGGCGATTAACACTAAAAGAAACTTCGTTTTACACAAAAGGCAAAGAAAGTCACATCAGCTCTCTTAACTTCGTTCAAACCCCTCCAGTAACAACAGCGAAATTTCAAGATATACTCGCGGAATTTCTAAACTTGACTAGATCAAACCCACAGCCTTCCAAAGACAAACTAAAAGTAAGTCACACTATCAAAACCGAAGGTGCACCGGTGTTTGCAAAACCCAGGAGACTAGCACCAGATAAGCTCAAAATCGTTAGGGCCGAGTTTGATTATATGCTACAACGGGTATTATCCGTCCCTCTGATAGTCAATGGGCATCCCCTTTGCATATGGTCCCAAAGAACAATGAAGGTGACTGGCGACCGTGCGGGGACTACAGAGCCCTCAACCGTCAAACCGTACCAGATAGGTACCCAATACCGCATATCCAAGATTTCACAAACGGTTTACAGGGTATGAACATATTCACTAAAATTGACTTAGTCAGGGCATATCACAATATCCCGGTGGCTGATGAAGATATCCCCAAGACAGCTAATACTACACACTTTGGCTTATTCGAGTTTGTACGCATGCCATTCGGTCTGAGAAATGCGGCACAGAGATTTCAAAGATTCATAGATAACCTACTTCGAGATATGCCATTTGCGCAGGGGTATATAGACGACTTGTTAATTGCCAGCCCCGATTTGCAATCACACGAAGAGCATGTACGATCAGTGTTGAAAAGATTGAATGAACGTGGAATAAACATACATCAAAGTAAGTGTGTTTTCGGTGTTCAAACTTTAGAATTTCTCGGTTACACAATAAGCGCAGAAGAGAGTAAACCTATCGAAAAAGTGGATACCATCAAACAATACCCCATACCTAGCTCTCTAACATAACTGAGAAGTTTTTTAGGTCTAATTAACTTTTATCGCAGATTGATACCAGGTTGTGCACAATTAATGCAACCTTTGACAGATTCACTTAAAGGAAAACCAAAAGAATTCAAACTGTCTTCTGACGCCGTCGAAGCTATTAAACAGCTTAAAGATAAACTGGCTCAAGCAACTACGTTGATATATCCGAATTCTCATTCCCCACTTGCTTTGATGGTGGATGCTTCAGATAAAGCGGTAGGTGGTACCCTTAACCAACTGGTTAAAAACGCCTGGAAACCAATTGCTTTCTTCTCGAAAAGACTCGCTCCAGCTGAGACAAGGTATTCTACCTTCGGGCGAGAACTTCTTGCAATCTACCTGACCATTAAACACTTCCGACACATGTTAGAAGGTAGGGAATTTATAGTCTTTACGGACCACAAACCACCAACGAATGCATTAGAAGCGAGAGCCGATAAATACTCACCTCGAGAAGTCCGACACCTTGACTATATATCACAGTTCACAAGCGATATCCGACATGTTAAAGGTCAGGACAATCAGGCGGCAGATGCCTTATCCAGACTAGAAATGAACGTGCTACAGCAGTCTACAGTTAACTTCGAGACGTTGAGACACGAACAAGAGCAGGATCTAGAATAACAAAACCTACTTAAAACAAACAATTCAAGTCTTAGTTTGAAAAACAGTTCACATCACCTATCGATGGTATTCTAATTTACTGTGACACGACCAAGGCAATGCCGCGACCTTTCGTTCCCAAAAATATGCGAAAGTTGATATATAATAACTTTCATTCTTTGTCTCATCCTGGCGCAAAAGCCTCAACTAAACTAATCAATGCCAAATATATATGGCCGAATTTACAGAAGGATGTACACAAATGGGTTAGAGAGTGTTCAGCATGCCAACAATCAAAGATCAATCGTCACACAAATTCACCCATAGGTGTTTTCTCGCAACCAGATGCACGTTTTGCACATGTGCATATCGACTTGGTAGGTAATTTACCCCGTTCAAACGGTTTTAATTATCTTTTTACATGCATAGATCGATTTACCAGATTCCCTATAGCCATCCTGATAGCGGACATCACAGCGGAAACAGTAGCCTAAGCTTTCATGCAGAACTGGGTAACCATTTTTGGTACACCCATAACAATAACGACAGATAGAGGAGTGCAATTCGAATCAGTCAGTCAGTCAGTTACAACGTAGGACCAGGCACATATGTGCATCGGTCCAGGTTGCCATACCGCATCAGCACAACAAGATGAACACCGGATTCATAACAGTGGTTAGGTAAAAGGTGGTAATATATAAGAGAAAGATTGCATATAGAGATATAGTACAAGAAGAAGGAATTGGTTCGTAGAAAGAAAGATATGAAGCGTTTTTAATCTCTTAGTTTAAGGGAAGACAGGGAGTGTATACACCGACGCCATTGTGATCGATTCTGAGCCATGTCACCAAGAGTCTCCAACCATTGGTTACGATAGTCACGCGGACCCCAACCAAGTAGTCTGCATCTACCAACATGGCTCAGACTAGAAGTTAGTGACTTCAAGCACTGATGCCACGTTTTGGTTTGGCCGCCCCTAACTTTCTTCCAACCATATCCAATACCGGATAGCATTGCACGTCGTGGTAATCGGTGTTCAGGCATACGTAAAACGTGGCCCAACCATCTCAGTCGATGAAGATTCATAACCTCGTCAACTGATTTACCATCCTTTCCTAATACCCTGCGTCTAACCTCACTATTACTTACCCGATTATCCCAGCAGACGCCAGCAATATTTCTAAGGCATCTGTGGTCAAATACTAGTAGCTTACGAGTGTCTTCTACCCTTAAAGGCCATGTTTCACTGCCGTAAATTAAAACAGAACGAACTGCCGCGCAGTATACTCGTCCTTTTATTGATAGACGGATATCTCGCCTTCGCCACAGGTGACGTAAGTTGGCAAAAGCCAAACGAGCTTTTCGAATCCGTGCTGAGATTTCGTCCGATACCAACCCATTAGGGCTGATCAGACTTCCAAGATAAGTGAAGTTGTCAACGCGTTCGACTACTTCACTCCCTATCCTTAGTTCAGGTGTTAACGCAGACCAGTCCTGAAGCATCAACTTGCATTTAGAGGGAGAGAAGCGCATTCCAAACATCCTGGCATTGTTGCTCAGTGCTACCAGAAGACTCTGCATTTTGTCAGCGTCTTCACCAAACAGGACTATGTCATCTGCGTATTCTAAGTCGATAAGTGGACCTCCTGGATGGAGATCAATACCCGAGAACTCAGTCGACGAGAAAGTTATTTCCATTAGTAGGTCTATGATGAAGTTAAACAAAAATGGGGAAAGTGGACATCCTTGACGGACACCACTTGAG